AGGGTCTAGCCCTGAAACGTCAGCCTCTCTGCTCCTATGATGCTGCTTGGCCTGCTGTGTTCATCCAGCCCTGCACCTTGTTGTCTCGGATTCTCCAGCATCTGCAGTTCCTACTATCTCTGCTTTTCTAGTTTTCCCTCCATCACACGCGCGCGCGCGCACACGTGTGTTAAGGGGAATTTATACAAGAGTTAGAGTTTTATTTAAAAAGTTATATATTGATGGTTTATAATTGTTTACAAATAAATTCTAGCTATAGGTAAAGTACAGAAACCTGATTCATGCTTTGTTAAAGAGATAACAAGGTGTAGAGCTGGATGAACACAGGCTTTGTTGTTAACCTAGGTCTGAAGGACAAGTGAATTGGGTATTTTGCATATTTTTAAAGTCTTTACTTTTTGTGACAATTCCAGAAATAGCTGGGGTTGATTTCCAGCACGCAAACCCTTTGAGGTATAACAGAAAGAAAACATTAGTAGGCCTGAGGATTGGACTGGTTTTAAAAAGAATTGCCAATAATTTAATACAAGAATGAATAAACTAAACAGGAACATAAAAACAGGTTATAAGAGCTTTTAGAAGTATAAAGTGTATGAAGTATAATCGAAATGAAAACATTCTTTCCTGCCATACAAGGCACATTTCCTGAAATCACTTATTAGGCACAAAGAAAAATTGTAAATACAACAAGCTTACAATATTACTTTAACATAAATGTCAACCTAAAACACTACAAAACTCTGACCAAGACTGCCAAAAGAAACTGATAACTGAAAAAAAGCCCTGCTATGCGCACAATACATAATATGTATGAAGACTATGTCAAGTTTGGATGTACCAAGCATATCAAGGTCTGAAAGGGTACATCAAAATAATGAAACTTTTTCAATTTTGGGAACATATGTGAACATTGCCCCAGTAAATATATTCATTTGTGATTTTAAAATGCATCTGGTCCATTTTAAACACCGCAAAGTTTAAATCTTAAAACAAAGAGAATTTTGATTTTCAAAAGATGATTATGCTTCCTAAAGGTTTTCAAAGATTTCTCAAATTATTTACCCCAATCTAATTCAGAGATGTTTCATCTTAATCAACTCTTAACCCTTTTGCAGAGATCACCCAACCTCCCCCAATACTTTCAATTCATTCCTGCATTCCCAACACTGTCCCTTTAATTCAGCCCAGGAAACTCCTATCTCCTGTTCAAAATACCACTGTCCCCCTTACTTCAATGTGGGACCTTCAGTCTCTACAACTTACCTCAGGTTGCTAATTTATTTTCACTTGTATTCAAGTTTGCAATCTTCATCACCCATTCCTAGGCAAAATAATACTTCTAATATCATGACTCTTCTCAATTATAGATTTCCCCAGTCTAAATCAGTGGGTCTGGGCTTTTACTCCATTTCCTTTACCTTGCATTTCCAAAATCAATTTACTCCCCTCGCTGCAGCATTAATCCTACCAAAATTCTGGCGAAAATTAGAAAATTATGGCTATTACATACTATAAGAACTTCCACCTGCCACACCAACCATAACCCCACTGCCCAAAAAACACACAATCCCAGGATATGCTGACAGTTAGAATTTATGCCTTGTAGAACAATCAAATATCAAATTCACCAAACTACAGAAACTTAAATACTTTTAAAATTGTATTCTTTCCTATTTACAGGCTTACTACAAGCAAACCTTATATTTCAAAGGTACACCACCTGGACTGGCCAACATGCAACTCCAGGCACACAAGCTGATTGACTCAACTGCCCTCTGGAAAATTAGGGATGAGCAACAGATGCTGGTCTAGCAGTGATGCCTACATCTCATGAATGAATAAAAACAAAATCAGGCTAGATACATATTTGGAGAATTTATTCTTAGAGGGCAGGAGAAGAAAGCTACATATAACTAATGATAGTACAGCACTCACTGTGTTGGCTAGCTCCAAGTAACTGCCACTCATGGGATGGCTTAGGCTTGAAGCCTGTGCCAAGAGTTTTTGCAGAGCGACTTGCTGATCCAGGCTAGCTGCTCCACATTCTAATAGTTTCTGAAGCACTGGATGACTATTATGTAGTTCTGGACTCTGAAGATCTCGAGCTCCAGAATCATACTCCCAGCTCTCCCTGGCTCCTGACATTGCACCTAGAAAAAAAAGCACTTTATAAACTTTGAAATTAAAAGTGCATGCAAGAACAACACATTAGTCGAAACAAGCATAAATTTGGATTTTTAAAGGAATTAGGGACTAAGCTATCATGGAGGGAGTACGAACTAGTTCACAGCTCAAATGAGAAGTTTAGGGAAGAAAATGAGAAGGATTTCTCAAATTGAGGACTGAAGTGAAGAAACAAGGTGATTATTAAATATTTCAGAGAGTTACATGGAACATTTGATGTGATTGATGTTGAGGATTAAGGGAATTCTGTTTAATGAACAAGACAAGTAAACAATTAATAAAAGGAAAATACTGTGGACGCTGAAAAGTAAAAAAATGACTTCTGGACCATAAATTTGTGCACACTATGTCAACAAAGGTTGAGTAGATGACAGCGTTTGCATTCAACTGTGTCTTTACAAACTGGATAGCCTTAAGATCCTCTGCACACATGCCTCCTTTCAAATTTTGCCAGTTGTTTCTCAATACCATTCAAGACTGAAGATCAATTTTGCAGTCTTTATAGCCACTATCTGTAACATTTAAATGCTTCGTTTTGTCTAAGCGTCTACACTGGACACAATACATAGCTGTGGTCTCACATTATTCTATGGTTCAATCACAACTTTCCTGTACTGCTGTTCAGCGTGCAATTCACATACAATCAGTTTTGCCTACTGTTGCTCCACAGTATTTGAAGATATTGAGCATTAAGTTTACTGATCTCCTCGAGAATGGAAAATGAGAGTGATTAAAATGTGATAGATTTATAAAAGATGAAGACCAAAACCACAAACTTGATGTTTATTTCAGTAAGACTGACTTCAAACAAGACATAATTAAACACAGTAAGTTGGGATAAATTGGTAAACAGAAGGAGATATGCGTAGAACCACAAAATATAATATAAGACCAGTGCACACACCTACAAATTCTTTCAATCAACTTGTTCAGAGACATTTATTACACACTTCTGGAGCAGGAAGAACTTGAACCCAGGCATGCTGGTTCTGTAGTAGGGACACTTCTAACGTGTCACAAGAGCCCTCGACTTTCACGTTAAATTCCACCAGCGTAGACAGACAACCATGGTCAATAATCAAGGTTAGCTTCATGATGAGCAATAGATGCTGGTCTAGCAGCGATGCTTACATCCCATGAATGAATAAAAACAAAAATTGGGCTACATACATATTTGGAGAATTTATTCTTAAAGAGGGCAGGAGAAGAAAGCTACATATAACTAATGAGAGTACAGCACTCACCGTGTTGGCTAGCTCCAAGTAGCTGCCACTCATGGGATGGCTTAGGCTTGAAGCATCATTACTTTGACCTATTTTGAGGCGGTTTAATGAAGCATCTACGATTTAAACTTCCAAAAGGCATTTCATTGATTTGTTTTTCTAATATCTTGTAAGGAACCTAAACATCAAGAATTGGAGGCAGCCTGGGACCTCAACCTATTATTTTTGATCATGATCTATATAAGAGTAGAAATAGTTGTAAAAGTTGCAAAATTTGGCAATGACAGCAAGATGGAAGCACAACAAGTACATAAACTGGGTTAGTGGTAATCTAAGGGGCAGGTGCTCTTAGATTGCATTCAGGAGAATTTCAACAGGAGTATATGTAAAATTCAACAAGAAACGAGACATTGCTGGACCTGACTCCTGGGAATGAGGTGGGCCAAGTAGATCAAATGACATTGGGGAACAGTGTGTCATAAATTTTAGGATGACAATGGAAAATGACACTGGTCAATCCAGAATAAGAATAATCAACTGGTCCACAGAGCAGACATCAATGGAGCAAGAATGGAGCTGGGTCAAAGGTTGGTGGGAACAACTTGTAACTGAACCACTGCCTTTCATGGGGCATAGGTACACCCACACACCAGAGGCAGGGCATTCCGTGATTTTGACCCATTGACACAATATTTCTAAATCAAGGTTGTTTGTCACTTGGAGGGAACCTTGCAGATTTTAGCACTCCCAAACATTCACCTCCTTTCTAGGTTAGGTTCGTCCAACAGGCAACTCAAAAGCCATAATACACCCCTCTCTACCGCACCCCCCGGCACCCACCCCACCACCACCACCAAGGGATCCTACCAAGCCCACCGCAGAAGTTATAAGTACAGGAAATAGAATTTGAAAATGTTCCTCTAGTCAAGGACCATTTCACTCCATGTTAGCTCATGAGTCAATAATGAGCACCAAATGTGCAAGCGAAACAGTTCCTGATTGGAAGAGTAGCAAGTTGTGCAAACAAGCGGCTTTGCCAGCCTGCATACGCACCCACATACAAAATTTTCTACATCATTTTGCATCCTCCTCAATTCACTTTCCTGTTTAACTTTGTATCATCACAATACATAGTCTGTCCCTTCATTCAAGTCATTAACGGAGATTACAAATAGTTGAGGCCATAGCTAATCCTCGTAGGGCCCCACTAGTTACAATTTCCCAGAACTGATCCATTTATCCTGATTCTTTGTTTCCCATTACTCAATCTTCTATCCATGCTAATATTAGCTCTAATACCATGAACTCTTAATGTTGCAATCTTATGTGGCACCTTACTGCATGCCTTTTAGGAGCCAAATATACTAAATCTGCTCATTTCCATGATCAAACTAGCTTGTTACATCAAAGAGTTCAAATAAATTTCTCAAGCATGATTTCCCTTTCACAAAATCATGTTAATTCTGCTTGATTTAGAAAATGATTATGCAACGTCCTGCTCATAACGGATTTCAGCATCTCCATACTGACTGGTATTTGAAAGTAGCCTATAGTTTCCTGGTTTTCTGTCTCTACCTTTTCTTGAATTAAAAAAAAGTCTCACATTTGTAGTTTTGCAATGCTCTTGGATCATTCCAAAACCTAGGTATTTTTTGAAGATTACAACCAATGCATTCACTATTTCTACAATAACTTCCCTTAAGACTCTACCATCGAGTCCAGGAGATATAACATTAACAGTCATATTAACTGTCAGTACGTTTTCCCAATAATGTGATTCTTTTCAGTTCCACGCTCCTTTTAGTCCTTTGATTTTCTACTGTTCTTGAGTTGAATTATATTTTCTTCCAATTAAGTCGGAAGAGATTTAAAATAGTAATAGTGGCTTGCAGATAAAGTGCCAGAGTTGAAAACACAGCTCACGCATAAATGAAGATGGATGCTGCACTGGGGAAAAATATACAATAAACTAAGATGAACAGGTTGAGATAGAACCAGAGCATGTCATGCCACCCTTAAAACTTTTTCTGCCATTACATTAGCTAATGGTTGATCTGCACCTTAATTTATTCACCTTACCAATGTATCTACCTAATCAAAATCTACATATTGCTGTATTCCTTTTAAAATTTCAACCAACCCACTATCCATAACCTTTTAAGGGATGCAGGTTCAAGGTTTCTACTACAAGACACTTCTAATTTCACTCCCAAATCATCTAGTTCTCATGCTGTAGGTTGATTCCTGTGAGGAGTGGGCTCTCCTAAAAGTACAGTTGAATGGACATATATTTGCTGAAGCCTAGGAGAGCCGACCTGACTGAAACCCAAGCATCTTGAGAGGACTTGATGAGGTAAATGCAAAGAGACTGTTTCCCCTTTTTGGAGATTTCAGAAGTGGGTATCACAGCCCCAAGATAAGCACTGATCATATCGGACTTCAGAGTTAAGAAATTTCTTCAGAAGAATATCTAAAATTTCCTACCCTGGAGGAATGTGGATGCTATATCATTGAATATACTCAATGCTCAATGACAACATTATTTTAGAAGGAAATTTGAAATTGAGGGGATTGAATGGAAAAGTGCAGTTCGGTTCAGAGGTCTACCATGATCCTATTGAATACAAAAAAGGTTTAAAGGACCACATGGTCATCTATTTGTGTTATGTTCTGGATTTTGCATGCAAGAGGAAATACCTTAATTAGGTCATCTTTCAGTTTTTTAAATACAAGGCAATACTAGTCACCTGTTCTGAAAAAAAAAAAAATTGAGATTCAGTTCCTCTCTATTGACACTTACAGACCTATGAATAGTTAGTGTTTTGTTCTTTTTTAAATTTCAACCTTTCAATGCCATAAATAATTCCTGTAAGTATGTTGGAACCCCCTCGTAAATTTATCTTTCCTGGAGCTCATTGCTCAAAACTGAAGCATTGTTCCAGATGGAACTGACCAATACTCTCTACAAGTATAATATAACTGCCTCACTTAATTACCGATGAGGAAACTTAGTTTATCTTGAAACCCATCACAGAACTTGCTTATATAAATTGAATTTTCAATATTTGATCTTTGTGCTACTCAATTGCAAACAAAATCAGTTAATTCATTATGTGGGTTATATCTATTCCAATGGTGTTAAATGGCAAAAAAAAATATTTAAGGCAGTGTTTGCTGACACACAAACTTTGTTGCACCATGTGTGCAAAATCCACGCTGCGCGTGTGCAGAATAGATGCAATACTAAAACAGGAATCAAGCAGGACCAGGATAGAAATTGGGCGAGGGGCACGGACAGGAGAGAGAATTGACAGAGCCTGTGCCCCAGCCTGAATTGGCCGGGTGTCTCCCCCTAACCATCCCAAGCTGCCTCCTCGCTCATGGCCATGTCTGTTACTGTCCATGTGACGTTTAGGGGGAAGATAACATGCATGCTCTGCAGCATTAGCAAACATTGCCATATGTAAGCAAGCAAGGTAATCGTTAGTTCCTTAAACGCACATTTCTGCGAGGGTTGGAGGACAGAATTCATTATGGAAACTATAGATGGACACAAACATTCTGTTAAAATTAATAGTCTTTTTTGTTCAAATGAATTCTAAGTCACAAAGCATGGGAACCAGTCAATTCAAATCATGTTTCAAGTCCACGAATTGAAATTACAGGAGTTGTTTTGCTGAAAGGAGATAAAAAGTCGAAGTTTTTCATCTTGCATCATCAGGACAGGAACACGAGAAACAAACCTCAAAAGGGAACACAATATTTTGCAGCATGAAAAGAGGGTGCTGACAAATTGGACCATGGAGGTGCAGCAGGAACTGTTGACTGTTGATTTTAATAAGCAGTAAAACGCAAACCACACTGGTAAACTGATTGATCAGAGCACTACAATGGGGAATGCAGCAACGACTGGCAATCTCCATGAATCTTTCCTCAATGAGAAAGGTGCAATGCATGGACAAATTACCCCTGCTCACAAAGAACAGGATCCTGCACATGAATACAGGTAGCTTCTAACAAATGAAAATTAATCATAACGGAGGTATCAGAGGTAATGTATTAACATGGATAGAGAATTGGTTGGCAAGCAAGAGAGAGAGAGCTGGAATAGACAGGTCCTTTTTAAATTGGCAGGCAGTGATGAGTGGGTTCAGTGCTGGGACCTCAACTGTTCACAATATACATTAACGATTTGGACAAAGGAATTGAATGCCATATCATATCACATCATAGAATCCCTACAGTATGGAAGCAGGTCATTCGGCCCATCGACTCCATACTGACCCTCCAAAAAGCATCCCACGCAGACCCACGCCCTACCCTACCCCTGCATTTCCCATCCTAGACACTACGGGCAATTTAGCATACATCCAAATTTGCAGATGAACTAAACTGTGTGGCAGTGTGTACTGTGAGGAGGATGCTAAAAGTTTGCAGGGTGACTTGGACACTCCGGCTGAGTGGGCAAATCATTAGCAAATGCAAAATGTTAATAAATATGAGGTTACCACTTTGGTCACAAAAACAGGAAAGCAGATTATCTGAATGACAGCAGTTTAGGAAACTGAGGTGCAACAAAACCTGGGTGTCATGGCAGAAGAGTTGCTGAAGGTTGACATGCAGGTGCATCAGGCAGTGAGGAAAGCTAATGGTATGCTCTCCTTCATAGTGAGAGGATTTGAGTATTACAGTAAGGATGTCTTGCTGCAGTTATACAGGGCCTTGGTGAGACCACACCGAGTGTTGTGTGCAGTTTTGGTCTCCTAGTCAGAGGAAGGACATTGTTGCTATTGAGGGAGTCCAGAAAAGGTTCACTGGGCTGATTCCCAGGATAGCAGGACTGACATATGAGGAAAGACTAGATCAGTTGGGCTTGTATTTGCTGGAATTCAGAAGAATGGGGGGGTGGCATCTCAGAAACAAAATACTTACGGGGGCAGGGAAGGCTACATGCGGGAAGAATGATCCCAATAACGAGGAAGTCCAGAACAAGGAGTCACAGTCCAAGAATAAGGGGTAAGCCCTTCAGGACTGAGATGAGTAAGAATTTCTTCACTCATTGTGAACCTGTGGATTTCTATCCCACAGGATGCTGTAGGGGCCAGTTCATTGAATATATTCAAAATGGAGCCAGACGTGGCCCTCGTGGCTAATGGGATCAAGGGGTATGGGGAGGGGGCGGGAATGGGATACTGAGATTGCACGATCAGCTGCGGTCGTATTCAATGGTGCTGGAGGCTCCAATGGCCAAATAGCCTACTCCAGCACCTATTTTCTATGTTTCTATAACACAAGCCTGCCTCAATCTTAAACATCCAAATGAAGTTATTAGCACATTCAGGATTATTCGGTAAATTATTGTCCAACAGCAGAATCACATCTTATATGGAACGTGGTGTTCTGAAGTTTGCAAGCACAGACTGGCTGAGTACAACTGGCATACAGCCAGCTGCGAACAAAGGATCATTTACTGCTCCACATTTCAGATACAGACATTTCCTTAAGCCACTGTCTACAAACATTCCTAACACAAGTCCTATAGGCAGACAATACTTAACAAGACACTTCCATTAAAGTTGTAATAATTACGGTAGACTCAATACAAGGTTAGAATGAGAATCCAAGAGTAGCATTATATTACATCCATGACATTCACTAGTCACTGCAACACATCATGCATGTCTCAAGGCATTGTAATAAAACAGCAAATTCAACTGCAATGGATCCTTTCACGTTGCACGGAGAGAGCTAGAAATTATGCAAAAGTAAAATTAATGTTTTTCATTTATGCAACCTACATACCAAGGCTGTTATCGCTACTAGTTGGCCACGAAGCTATGCGGTCACGTAATTTTCTTTTCTTGCAAGACTCATGCGACTTCACCGAGAGTTCACCTTCTTCCTTCCTTATTTCAGATACCAACTGCATACGGCAGCGTGCAAAATCCTCAAAGGAGATTTTCCCATTCTCATCTGCTCCCAACTGATGCATAATCTCTGCCACTGATTCCTCCATGTTTAGTTGTCGACATACCATAAGCAAGTCATTTCTGAAGAAAGATAAAGAAATATCAAACTATCATATCCTCATAAATTTTCTGTGAACGCTATTCCTTAACTTTGTCAAGTGCAGCACTGTTAAAGTGCCATACTGAAAAAATGGTTACCATAAGATACCAGTTACTTTCTTCTGAAATCACAGCAATACTACACATTAGAGATTTTTCTGCTGTGTGCATTTGAAATTATAAATCCAAGTAACAGTTTCTACTCAAATATTTAACAACGACGCAATGATACTGTCCTCCTCACGGTTTGCATTCCCACCTAACTTTGCGTACTCAACAAAACTAGCAATACATTAAACCATTGACATTTGAATAATTAATATAAATTGCAAATAGCCAAGGGCCAGCAATAGTCCTTGTGTCTCTCTAGTGTTTACAACCTGCCAATTTGAAAATGCCCTATTTACCCCTACTGCTACCTTCCTGCCTATTAACCAATTAGTTTATACTAATACCTTCACATCACCCAACTGCATAAGCCCACATCTTGCAGATTGGCTTTTTGTGTTGCAACTCAAAAATGCTTTGCAAATTCAGGTATACATTTAGTGGTTTCTGTTTATCTATCCTACATGTTATATCCTCAAAAAACAACTCTCATTTGTCATACCCAATTTCCCTTCCATAAAACCACGTTAACATTTTCTGATCATACTGAAATTTTCTTAGTGTACTTTCAAGATTGCCTCAATAACAGATCTTAGCATTTTCCCTATTAAACTCAAGGCATTCAATGTTTAGTGTGTCCTCATAACTCAAAGTTCTCAGTAACAAATTTGGTTAAGCCAAGTTTAATTTTCACGTATATCTTAAAATGCAACTTCGTCCAAAAGCTTAGTTTTTCCACCAAAAAGTGATTATGTTTTTCTTTTAGCAGATAAGACACAGATATAACAATGGAAGACAAAACTACTTAAAACACAAAACAAATATTTTTGCAGGATGGATAACTGGTATTAAGTACAAGCGCCATATATAAAACTTACAAAATTGGGTAAATGTCTTTTTAGGTCATCTTTTAAGCAACATAAACAAGGGGCTTTGTCCAACAGTCGAATGAAATCCAACAATGCACACAGCAAGTTTTAGTCAATTTCAAAACATTTTGATCCTCCAAAAAACAAACCTCTCCAAAATCATGGGGTTACTTAAATACTACATATTAATGTAAACAAACAGCATGAATGGTTACTATGTTGAAACATCATCAGCAACCAAGGCAAAAACTTCTAAAAATCATCACAACAGTCTATTTCAGTTGCTTGATGCTTCGCACTAAGATATAAAGGCACCAAAAGTAAAACATGTATGGGCTACAAAACTGATGCTGAATACACACAAGAGTATAGCATACAGTAGCTAACAAGGGGGTTCAATTTAAACATTGAGGACATGCAAAAACTTGGATTTGAGAATCTGGGAAAAATGAGGCTGTCTAGTTCATGGCTATTTAAAGTAGAGCAAGTCCATCCCATGACAATGGGACAATAAACTAAACCTAACTACACTCCATGATAGCCTATAAAGGAGAAGTAGGCCATTCAATGAGACCATGGCTTACCTGATAAACCTGAACTCCACATGCCTACTTTATTCCCTAAAACCCTCAATTCCCTAACTGATTAAAAACAGGCTCTCTACGCTCAGAAGGAATTGCTGCTCATGTCGGTCTTAAATGGGTGACCCCTTACATCCCCTCAGATCCTAGACTCTCCCATAAGGAGAAGCAATTTCACTGCATCTACTTGAGTAAAAGCAAAATACTACAGATGCTGGAAAAACCTGAAATAACTACACAGATACTGTAAATCAGAAACAAAAAATAGAGATTGCTGGAAAAGCTGAGCTGGTCTGGCAGAATCTGTGGAGAGAAATCAGAGTTAACATGATGTGGCCAATAAGGCAAAGTAAAGTTGCCAATATCCTAATAACGGATTAGAGCGCTGCTTTTTCACTAGACAGAGACGACTGGTGAATGCTTAACTTGAGGGTCAACACACAAGTGAGGGGAGAGGTTGAGAAGGAAATCCTTCATGGTAACTCTAGCTGGTACAGGAATTGAATCCATGTTGCTGGTATCACTGTGTGTTGCAAGGTAGCTGCCCAGGCTGAGTGAAACAACCAATAAGCACCCACAAAGTAAATGCGTGCAGGAACTATTAAATAAGTACTTTAAACTTATCTTTAGCAAGAATGATGCTTCCAAAGACAGTAAAAGTGGTTGACATAGTCAGAGATAATAACTGATAAGAAGTAGGCTGCCTCAAAGCTGAAAGGTCATTTAGGCCAGATAAGATGCATAGAAGGACACTGGAGGAATGAAAGCAGGAAATCAGAGACATATGCCATGTTATCTCAAACATTTCACTTCCATTCAAAAACAAGTGTACAAGCAGCAGCCCAGGAAGTCTGTGTATGAGGGGGCTTCTGTTTTAAATGTAAACTATTTTTCTTTTTGTTTTTTTTCTTTTCTATCTCTCTTCCTTTGTTCATTTTTTTCTTTTAATTTTAAAATTTACTTACCAATTAGTGAAGAGCTCAGTTGTGGTGATGGCACTGATCAGTAGGCCCAGAAGCACGGACTCAAGTAGGCCTAGCAGCCCGGACTTGTGGCAGCAACGGAGGCACGTTCAGGTTCCCAGCAGCTTCTGCGGAGGCGGTCCTAATGCTAGCTCAACATCAAGTTCATCTTTCCTTCTTCTGGTGACTTCAGATGAGGAAGGAGGTCCTGGGAGGCCACTGCAACAGAGAATGTGGTGGGGATCCAGCCATTCCTCGAGGCTGCGTCGGCTGAAGACCAGGTGGGTTCGGTCGCAGGTTTTTGAGGCTTTTGCAGCATCTTCACAGTGGCATGGCTCGCCCGGTGTAGCCTGGGTATCCTTTAGACAGTTTCAGCATTTTGGCAGCATCAGATTAACTCTCCTTGCAACAGCTTCGGTCAGTCTGCGATTCCATGCAGCGTTTTCTTCAGCATCATGGTGAGTCTAGCCCAGGATTCCAAAAGAGTTCCAAAAGCCCACAGCCGTGAAGTAGACAAAGTGGACTTTGTCTTAAATTCTCATTTTTTCCCCTTCATGGAAGGACTATTATTCTGAACTTTTTATCTCTTTATTTTTCTAATGTATTACTATGATTTTGTACTTTTGAAGGCCTTTAATGCTGGACTTTTTATTTCTTTATTTTCTAATTTATTTTCCTAAGAATTCATATTCAAGAATCTGTACATAGGTGCCTTTGTACCCAAGGTGGTGCCATAAGTGACAACTTGTAAACTTTTCACTGTACTCATGTGATGACGTGACAATAAAGATAATTCAATTCAATTTTTTGTAATCAATCTGCTCGAAGACGTTATTGCACACCTCTGGAACACATGGGAGTTGAACCCGGGCCTCCTAGTCCAGGGATAGGGGATGCTAACACTGCACAGGACAGTTCCAAAGGGGGAGTTTATAAGTCGTTCAGAACTTTCAGTAGTAGTGTTACGCATCACTGTTTATAATTGCGCATCTGTAGCTAGAATCAATTACCTGCATTAAATAGTGATTCTTGTAAAGTACAGAAATCTGGTCCATGTTTCTATCAATTCGAGACTGAAATATCAAATGGATTGGGATTTTCTTTTAAAAACGATAATTTTGTGATAATTCTGGGAATAGCGGAGCTTGATTTCAAGCACACTACCCCAGTGAGTCACAATGCTGAAGGATGGCGTTTTTATACTGTTGAGCAATTCAAAGATTGCTATGCTGCCCAGAGCAAAAGAAAAAGGGAGTGTTAATGATGGTGAAAGAGGAATAGAGATTTAAAATGGATGTAAATGAAAGGTGTGAATAAAAAAAAACTGGTCTGCTGTGTTGAGAACAAAATCAACAAGACATAAAGAAAACATGGCTGGGGGTGGCAGATGGAGGAGAGGTTATGCTTTAACATTGTGAACTCAATAATGAGCTTTCAAGGCTGTGAAGCTCTGGAGCAAGCCCAGGATGAAAATGTTGGCATAGAGCAGGGTGACTTATTGAAGCAGCAAGCAACTGGAATGTCCGGTCGTTCCTATGAAGAGAGGAAGATATTCCACAAACTGGTCACCCGGTCTGAATTTAGTCTTGCCAATGTAAAAGAGATTGCACTGTGAGCAGTGAATACAGCAGGTTAGGTTGAAGGATACAGAAATAAAATGTTGCTTCAACTGGAAGATGTGTTCTGGATCTTGAACACCGAGAAGGGAGGAGGTGAAAGAACAAGCATTACACCTTCTGAAACTGCACGTGAAGGTTCCATGGGGGTTGAGAAAATGATGGGAGTGATGGAGGAATGGGTCACAATGTCGCAGAGGGATTGGTCCCTGCAGAATGCTGATTGTGGAGGGGGAGGGGCACATTGTTTATTGGAGGTATCCTGCTGAAGGGTGTGGAATTGCAGTACTGACTCTTTGAATTCAGGGACTGATGGTGGAAAGTGAGGGCAGAAGTGCAGGAAATAGATCAGACATGCTTGAAGGCTCTGTCAACCAATGCAGGGGGTGTTCCTTGTTTGCGTAAAAAGGACATTTCTGAAACACTGTGGTCTAAGGTGACATCATTAGAACAGATGTGACAGAGAAAGAGAAAGAGAGAGAATTGCAGGAAGCAGGGTGGGAGTAATTGTAATCAAAAGTAACAGTGGGAGACTGTGGGTTTTTAGTTATGTTGGCAGACAACCTACCCTGGAAATGGAAATGGTGAAGTCAAGGAAGTGGAGAGTCAGAAATTGACTGGGTGATGGTGAGAGAAGGATAAAAATTGGAAACAAAACAGAGAATGTTTTCCAATTCTGGATGACAGCAGGATGCAGTATCAATGGCATCACTGCTGTATGGCAGAAAGAGTTGTGGGTGAAGTTGGAGAAAGTTAAATGAATTAAAGGCAAAGTTATTCAAACTAAAAACACGCTCAACCAGGCAAAGGATGGTTGTGGTGGTGCAGGAGGATTGTTCAGGC